GTCAAACAAATAAAAAAGTTTAAAATTATATTTTAAATTTATTCTAACGAAGCGAAGCTTAAACTGGAATGAAAGATCATGGAATTTAAAACGTGATTTTGAGGATTATTTACCTAATACAAATGTATTGCAGTCGATAATAATTTGTGTTTTTTTTTCGACAATTTTGTACCTACCTGCCACAAGTATTTAGGTATGAACGAGCTATTCTATTTCTGACTAGTCATGAGTGGGTTGGTAGTTGTTGGAATTTTGTAAAAGTGAAGATAATCCACAGTATAAACGCTGACTGTTTCACGAATGGAGTACATTTAAAACTTGAGGCTCTGTAATAGTCATTGACCTTGGTTAGAGCCTCCAACAACATACCTTGCCATCGCTAAATAAGTACAAAGCTTCATATAGGTATATGTATTTGTGCATAGAAGTGTTGTTACTACTTACCATGTACCTGTATTGGCTTGCTGCATTGTACAAATACGTTTGTGTGTTTTCTAGCCACTAAGTGCATAAAACTTCTGACCTCAACCTGCAGTATCACCGTCATAATCTGATCACGAAGTCGAAGTCTTCGGATACGTTGTTTGAAATTTCCTGCAGGTATTCAAACCTTACTTGTTTTGTTTTCTTCTTTTCTTCGTTAATCTTGAGAATAGGCAAGAAATCTGAATTGTGGTAGGTAGAAGCAAAATAGTAGAAAAAAAAATGGGATTGCAAGTGGTCATAAAAATACTGTTGACTGTACAAAGGGCGTTGGTTACAACAAATTATATGGATAAAGCTGTTGAAAATGTTATTTTCCTGGTACTACCCAAAGATACTTCTCAATTATTTTAGACGTATTTTTCGTAGGTTATATTGTCAACAGTACGTATACCAAGTTAGCATGACAAATTTATATTTCGTATTTTTAAAATGCACTTCAATTTGTCCTTAATTTGTTACCGAATTCAGAAATTTGTCGTTTCGACTGGTTACCTGAAAATAAAGGGGAATGGTAACCTGATATCAAAGACGTTACTTTTACACATTTTGTACCATCTTTCGACGACAAGTTACAGTCATTTCTATATCACACCTTCGTGTAGTACCAGCTTGATAATAGCCTAGCATTTTGTGTATTTTTCGGTAAGCGACAAATTTTTGGATTTGGTAACAAATTAGCCTCAAACTATAGAAATATGAAATACAATTTTGTCGTGCTCTAGCCTATTAGACGTCTGAAGACGTATGAACAATTTTATGCAGTTTATGTGATGCCCGGCATTGAATTTTCGTTATTGACATGAATTTTACATAAACATACTATAATTCAGAAGGTCATAATCGTAAGTTACGTTAGATGTGTTCAACTAAATAACGAAACTCTTAGTGGTGAAAGTTCATATTTGATTTGTTTTAGAAAATTCAGTTACGTGTGTGCTTAATATAATTTAATTCATGTTATTTTTGATAAACAAACCATATATTCAACGCCACTTATCAGATAACGAAATTTAAAAATCGAAAAGGAGTTTACATTTTTCGTTCAGTTAGTTTGTTCAGTGTTGAATTGTAAGTACATACCAAGTACCTACTCCATATACATTTTTTATGGGCAGATTTTTAGAATTTTTATTTAGTATTTATTNCCTCGCGTTTATCCGAACGTCAAGCAACACCAAACAATTTAAATGTAAAGTTTCAATGTCAAACTGTTTATTTCGATTTTGAAACATCTTCAATTCAAACGCATTTCGTTTATTTTTATGTGGTCAATGAAAGGGACTGCTGACAAAAATATATGGTGTACAAATACGACCGATGTATTGATTTTTAAGAAAAGCTTTCGCTAGCCAGACTATAATCGAAACATGATTTTTTAGCTTTATTGCATTATTTTTGCAGCAACAAAAAAGAGGAAAATAACGAGTAATGAGAATGAGCAGTGTTAGTAAATCTAGTGAGGAGGATCCAGCGCCAAAACTTGAATCTACATCCATTCTGGAAGATGAAGATAATTGTCATAAAAATAATACCGGGCGATGGGTTGGACGATCTTTCCTAATGACTACCGAGATGCGAATGGAAATGTTAAAGCGATGCTACGCACCTTCAGAAAACTATGATTTTGCTGGTGATGCTACGCATTTGAAACGAAAATTTAATTTAAATTCCAAGAAAAAATTATAAAAAGAAAAGAGAAATTTACTACTCGAAATTAAATGAAGATGTCCGTGAAGTATATGAAAATTTAATGTAGTTAAATTATCTTTCATATTTTTACTATGAAACTTTATAACGTAGGTTGTGTAGTCTTCCTGTATGAGACCTGTAGTTGGTTTTGAATTTGACGGTAATGGTATGTATTGCTGAAGATTCTTCGGGGAAATTGTTGAAATACGTGTAAAATCGTTCATAGTTAGACATGTATGCACCTGCTGTATTTAAAGGAAGAAAAGTTGTTCATTATTTCTATGTTTAGAGTATCTTTAAGTGACTAATTCAAACCCCTTTGTTCTATAAATTTAAATGTGCCAGAGCAGTCAGCACATCAGCCTGTGAATCAGTAACTTTGGAAGTTTCAGAATTGTGACGTCTTCCTATAAACATTTGCGTTAAAAATGTAACCGAGTGGATAAAATCGGAACGGTTCTATTTTGAGAATTTTACACTTCGTGGCCCACGATAATGTCATGGTGTAATGACGGTTTGTACCTCTTAATTTTTCGAATATTTGTTGTTATATTGTCGAGGAAACAGGCAGTGTAAGTAAGTACCGTGTAAAATTTCTTCACTTTAAATTTGCGGTTTTGATTCGTTTTGCAATCAGATAGAAATTGTGCTCCTTTTTTTTTTTAATAAAATTCTATCGCCATCATACTACTTAATATGTAATTATAATTATTAACCAGCTTGTTAATAATTATAATTATTAACCAGCTTGTTTTTGTAGTCTGTACTTTTTTGCATCTCTAAACCTACTGATTGCGGGTCATATGTTCATTAAAGGAAATTTAAATATTTTNTAATTATTAACCAGCTTGTTTTTGTAGTCTGTACTTTTTTGCATCTCTAAACCTACTGATTGCGGGTCATATGTTCATTAAAGGAAATTTAAATATTTTCACTGGAACTATTTTTGGTTGCGTTACGAAACAAAGTCCATAGCAATTGTTTCGCCAAATGGCAAATCAAAAGTCTAATTAGTGATATTCTTGCAACTTATTTACCAATCCATTTACAATGGATATTCGGGAGGTACCTAGTATTTAAAAGAGAATTTTAATGCATAAAATTCAGAAAATATCTTCAGGTAGATTATTTATGTTAGGCATTTCCGTATTTTTTGCGCTTTTGTGTAGCACCTGACAAACTTCAGGATTTTAATTTAAAAATGTGTTTTAACAGTACATTATCGAGGTTTTTAAACAAGAACAAACTAAGGGGATATTACATATAACCATCAAAGGTGATATCTTCTTTAGGCATTTTTTCATATAAAGAATAAAGCAATAAAAGATTTCGAGAGTTCGGTTAATTTAAGAAAGTTTTCAGATGCAAGCGATATATTTTCAGACATATTCTACACATTCACCAAATTCATGATATGTATAAAGCACAACAAGTCTTAATATAAGTAAGTTTGTATTATTTGAATGCAACATAATGTACGAAAAATCGGGACCGTTTTGATGGTACTCGTTCTATGCATAGACATGATGAAGAGGATTTTATATAACAGATTCACCGTAGTATATAGGTGCCTACTATGTATGTACGATAACCAGGTATTCCTTCAGTTTACACCTGTGTATACGTATAAAAGTTAATTTGTAAATTCTTTTCGTTGTGTTTGTTGCTAGGTTAATTTTTGTAATAAAACATAAGTAGTCGATCAGTTTTGTGTTTGACGCGGCGTTTGTGGTGAAGAAAGTTCGATTTCATAAATAATTTCAAGGACGTTATCGTGAAAAGAATATTATTACAAACACGAATTCGAAACTTGAATACGCGGTTGCCACGTTATCCTACGTATGTATATGTATCAAAATGTTTGTATTTATTCAATATTCGTGTACTCAAGTAAATGGCGTACTATTATTAATAACAGAATTATTACAGTTTTCAGTCAGTCAGTTCGTTCAAAACAGAATCAATTTGTACGTTATTATTGCCTGGAAGCGAACTCTCAGTGACCTTCGTTTAATGTATTAGGTATTATTGCTATTATTGTACCTAATACACATTTATTTATTTATTAAATTTGTATTTACGTTTATAAAACGATAGTTGAAAAATCAGAAAACAGATCGTTTATTATGTTTTGCCTCGCTGCCGTATGACGAATTTTGGTGTACCACATCGCCCTTTACATGTAAAAGAGTATCCCTACGGTAGGTTCTCAATTCGTCACTACTGCGTATGCGAATGACTACATACTGTAGATATTACCCTACTCGTTTGTGTTGTATGTATTATACTACTACCTACATGATACGTTTGTTTGACGAAAGCGAAGGGATCTTGGATCCAGACGAATTGTTAATGTTGTCCGCATGTATATTGTTTATTTGTAATATGGTAATAGTGGTTAAGTGTGTTGGTGTGTCTGTTTATGTACGTGACAAACAATTATCACACAGTTTCGAGTCGTCGTGTGGTAGTATCTGTACATATAGTTCTGCTGCTACTACTACTACACCGTTCTTTTGCGGATACAGAGTACTACTGTACTAGTCGGTCTGAAAAAATTAGTCCATGGCAATCTGGCCAACTTGATTACATACACTTTATTGTATTATGTATTTTATTAAACGACCACCGTACTTTAGTTTTAATACAAAGTCGGATGTATGTATGTACAGTCAATATGAATTTATTGTAAACTTTACGTATCGAGACGTACCTCTCTGTACTGACAATGAGTAGTAGGTACTAGTCAAAATGATGTTGGTGTTTGAAAGAAACGAAAATGTTTAGTTTTTAGTCCTAATGTGTTTTTATTTGTATTGTTTCAGATGTCTGCCGGATCCCAAATACAAATGGCACCGCAGACTACCATCAATACAGTTCAGCCCGTTCATAGCCAAGACTCCAATATGAGTACAGGTAGGCAGTCAAATTATTTCATTAGATTTTTAAAAAATTTACAGTTGTCTTACAAGCTACCTCCTATTGACAAAAGTCAATAATATATTGATTTATCTTTTTACGTAACAAAAGAGTTGCGGACACTCGTTTCGGACATTATGTCCATTATCAACGCGCAAGTAGTGCCCCTAATCATTAGCTTTTCCTAGATTTTTCGTCACCTAATTTCGCGTAATCTTCACGGGATTTAGAATCATCAATCAGAATGTTGCTCTTAACTGTCTAGCTTAAAAGAAATTTAAAAATTTACGTACAACTATTGATTCTTATTATTGGAAATATAATTTAATTTTTTTTAATTTGTTATTGCAAAAAAAGTTGGCCTTAAATCGTCAAGTTTATCGACCGCACTTGTAAATTATTCCTTAATATGAATTGCTTTTACACAGTGGTAAATTTGTAATGGTAAAAAAATTACTGTCTTAAAAAATTACAAATAAGAGATTCTTGTTGGATTAATGTAGTGCTAAAATAAAATGATTTTCAATATTACAATAATAAAATAGTTCGTTTTGTTATTCAATTCGTTCCATATTCATTAGTCATCATTTGTGATGTCGCAATCGCCAGAGATATATTAATAGATAACACAGTTAAACTTGCAATGTTTCACTCTAAAGTAAAATATAATGGAATGATTAAATATAAGCTGTAAACTGCAAACTAAATAAACCAACAGTCTTGTTCATTACAATTAATTTAATGATATTGTTTTGTTTCGAAACTAGAATTTCGATTGGTATTTTTGTTTCGTTGTTAAAGCGAATTGTTTTAAATGCCTTCGTATGGTGAACTGTTTCATCTTTTTTGTAGGTTTATTGTAAGCATTGCGAAAATTATAACGAAAATGATAATTAAAATCCGACTCGATATGAGTGCCATATAGACAATTTGTTCCAAAAATAGATATAAGGACACTCTTATCTTTATTGCTATCGTACTTTTGAATGTTCAAGAAGAAAAATAACAAAATTATGCTGCAAAAGGCTTAGCTGGTGTTTAATGAAAAATAATATAAGTGCGTATGTAATTTCAATTAGTACATTTTTTAATGTCGTTCTTTAAATTTAATGCTCTAAAAAAGATGTTAACTTTACGTTCTTGTCAAAATTTTTATTCTTTACTATATAGGTACCCGTGTAAGTGTGTATATACATTTATATATAATCATATTAACAAAGTTGTCGTGTACGTACTTATTTATCTAACGTAAATAATATGAAAATACCTAATTTTAATAATAATGATTGTAGGAATACAATAAAATACGATAGTATAAATGTGCTTAAAGAAATATCCAATCGAAATACAAATATTTTGATTTGTTAAAAGCTACAATTATTATCGATATAAAGTACCTAAAACACTTGTGTTAATAGAGTCAGACAATTCCATTTTCCAATTATAGTTTCCATTCTTTTGTAATGGAATTGTACTAATATACATTTGATTATTTTTTCGTGGAATAGATGTATTAATTAGCATTGTTTATTGTTCAATACCAGTTTTTATTTAATGTGTCTATTAAAAAAAATGCCTGTTTATATATATATTTTTTTGTTATTTTAAATTGGGATATAAGGAGATTTAGAATTTTATTTTTCACGTGTGACTTCATCATTGAACACATTTGCATAGCATCAGTACGTTTATTTTCATAAAAGTCTTTTTAACAGAAGCTATAAAAACATGTATTTACTAGTTATTTTGCCTTTTTTATCTAAATACTAAACTGGGACTATATACACGTGTGACTTGTAGGTGCATTACGACGTATACCTGACTATGAAAATTAGCATATTTCGAATATATGTAGAACATTCATTTATATCAAGAGAATGAGCAGCTATGCATGATGACTAAATGACATCAGTAAATACGTATGTATCTACAGGCGTTCTATTTATAAATAATTATATGTATTAGCGTGAGGAAAAAGTTCAAAGTGTAAAAAATATAAATTTCTTACAAAAATGTATCATGTCCAAAACTATTACAAAAAAAATAGGAAACTCTAAACACAATTTTTCTTTTTGGAATTCCGAATTTACAAAGAAAACCTCCATGTAAAACGAGGAATTGTGTTACCAGAATATTCCAAAACTGGACCCATATTTAGCATGCTTAGAATGTTTGCTAAATGTGGTAATTTAGGTAGACGGCTTGCAATAAAAATATGGGTGACATTAAATATTTGTTTTTGCGTGAAAATAACCGGAAAATACCACTGAACCTGAACGTTCCGTTCTTATCTTAACTCTCGTTTTATTATTAGCAAATGAATTTATTACGAAATGATAAAAACAACTGTTAAGTAATTTTAACGCATACGTGTACACATACCTACGTATCTACTACAACTATATCGTCATAATTTGAAAGGTATTTCCGTTCTTCTTTTGTCTTCAGATATTTTATTAACTTTTATTCTACATGTAAGTATCTGTGTATGCTTAGTTTATTGCGTTGTATGAATAAGAGACACAAAAGAAAGAGAAAATAGCGAAACATGGGTACCTAACTAGGTACTACCATTTTTTTTTTTTGCACAACGTGACCCTGACATTTGAATCGTATCTGATTATGATCTTTTATGAAATAACTTCAGCGTGTAGGTACCATGTTGTATTTTTCCTCTAAAAAATGTTTCCAATTTTCCTTTTTAGGTTCCTCTCATAGTGATAAAGAGGTGGATTCAAATACTCCCGAAAAGGTACCGCGGACGCCATCGGAAAGAAAAAGAAAAAGAAAAGCAGAAGACAGTGGAGGGACAGTGGCAAAAGGCATTAGTAGGACTGCTTCAGTAGATAAAAAAATTAACGATTATTTTAGTTCCAAACATCCCAGTAATAGTCCCATTAGGCACGGAGGAGCGAAAAGCCCCTCCCCACAACAACCTTATCCAATGGTATGTTTATTTGTTTAATTTTCTTCTTAAACAAATCCAGATCTATTAAAATAGTGTCAGGTGTATGTTGGGTTGCCTACGTGCGATAGTATTTTAAATAACTGACAGTGCAGAAAGCACCCTATGTTGTTTGTGTTTTATTCAAACATTTAAAGAGACAGACACTTATACGTTCATTATTGTATTAGATAAAGTACATTGTTAATCGGTATGAAAGGTATTTTTAATATTTATCAAGTTTAAAAATGACCTTTGTGTGCCATTGAGAGTAAGCAGCACACGATAACAAATGTCAATTTCGTTAAAACCCATTTCCACTTGGCGTAATAATTATTTTTGTACTTGTTTGTTTGTTTATTACTACGACTTAGATGCATCAATTAATTAATTCAATTGTGTCTCCACACATCCAAATGTAGAGCGTTTTTACGATTCTTTTACATAAAAGGAAAATATTATTTGAGTATACACAAGAATGGCTAAATAATAATTCTGTTAAGTATGAGTTCGCAGGAAACAGTTCATTTTTTATCGTTTTCAAATATTGTACGTTATTTAAGCAATCTACCATGGTTTATAGAATTATACATTGTAGGTTCATTCTAATAACTGTATTATAGTCTATTTATGACATTTTAACTATCAAACCTTTAAATATTTTAAAATTTAAATTGTTTATTAAGATTTAGTTCAAGTATAGGAGATGTTATTATTAGTTGAAGCTTTTGTTAATCATGTTATTTCTGTTATTAAGACATTAAATTTCAGTTTCCGCCATCTCCTCAACAGGTGGGACTGTCGTCACCCCAAGTCCCATGTAACACTGTTCCTTTCGACTTCTACAAACAACAACCAGCTAGAATACCTCATCCAACTATGGTTAGCAAACAAGTACAGGTAAGAACAAGTCTTATATTTCCATTTTCTTTCCTGTCACTCCTATAATAATGTACTGTTTTTAAAAAAATTCCCCGATTTTTTAAAAATATATTTCGATTTAAAGCGAACAATTCTAAAAATGCCAGCTTTATCAACTTGTCAGTAATTCTTTATAGTTATTATAGATAAAGTGCTGTTTATCTAGCTGTTGTACAAGTACAGTGTATGTTTAAATGAAGCTATAATGTTTTTAGGAACAGATAACAAATACGCAATCTACTTGTGTTATTATAATTTTTGGCCGCGCTAAAATATTTTTTTGAGTTCAATTTTATCCAACGGTTTGCCTGCCAAATATAATAAATAAAATATTGACGATTTGGTAAACAAATTAAAAGTAAAAAGGATGTGTCGTGTTAGGGATGTAAAGATTGTATAGCTTTATTAAATTTTTTTTTTCTAGTTAGTATCTAGTATCAATGATGATAATTTTTCACCATTGCATGATATTCCAATGATTATTCGAAACATGCACTACCAACTGATTTCGCGTTTTCTTTGGGACATTTAGTCGTGCGCTAATAGATATTTCAGTGGTTAATTTTGTCGTTTTCTTCTTGTCCCCCGTCAACAAATTATAGACTGAATTAACGTGTCAGAGGATACAGGAATTCGAGACGCAAACGTCGTCGGACCTGGAGATTAGGAACAACAAAATAGAAGAATTGACGCGTACGAATGAAGAGCTCCGGCATCAGCTGACAACGCAGCAGAAGACGATAGACAACCACAAGCAACACATCAATAAGTGCATCGAAGTGGTGAAAAAACTTTTGATCGAGAAAAGTTCGATCGAAAAGAAGGAAGCCCGGCAAAAGTGCATGCAAAACAGGCTCAAGTTGGGCCAGTTTGTTACGCAGAGGGTCGGAGCTACCTTTCAGGAGAATTGGACTGATGGTTACGCTTTCCAGGAGTTGGCGAGGTATGATTTTCACAATAAGAGGGGAAATGTCACGGTGTAAAGTATCTAGGTAGAGCCCTTTCATATAAGATAAACCACTTTTATCCATTGCCCATTATGATTTTAAAAAGTCACTTAGCACATGCTAAATTTCAAGCCCTTACTGTTGAATCAATATAACGTAGTCTCACAATTCAGCTTTTTGTTTAGTTCGTAATTCTGGAAAAGTTGTGTTATGTACAGATCAAATTGTTTTAAAATGTTGCCTCTTTTCTGTTTTAGGCGGCAGGAAGAAATAACTGCAGAACGGGAAGAAATCGATAGGCAAAAGAAATTGTTGTTGAAAAAGAGGCCGTCAAATAGTGAGGGTGGTAGGAAAAGGAATAATTCTACACTACACAACGGTACTGATTCGACATTTCTGAAGCCTGACTCTGTTCCTAATTCCTTATCTATACAAGACTATTATGAGGCTGATGAAATTTTAAAGGTAACAGACGTTTTTTTTGAGAATATTTGTGTAATTGAGTTTGATGCAGTTTTATTATTTAAAAAAGTAATTATAGAATTGCAAAATTCTTATAAAAAATAGTAAGAATATCTGTTTGGTGTAAATTAATTGGGTGGAATTAATGTTGGCTATTTCTGGCATACGAATGCCACAATAATGCCTGACAAATTTGGACCAAGTCCAAAAGGCATTACAGTCGATAATAATAACACTATCTGCATCTAAATACAGTGTTGGAGGATAATTTTTGGAATTATTTTTAAATTATCCCGCGCGTTTTTGGACACGGACCATATGCCACAAATTACGAATAATGTTAATTTCAATCATTCCAGTCAAACGGAAGGCCTTTGACATCTTCTTTGGTCCCACAAACAACTTTTTATGGGCCACAAATTGCTCTGGTTGCTATAATTTTCCGTTTACTGCCTGTTTATGCTACATAAATTGACTTTTCAATTATAACGTTGTTGTTATTCGTATTTTCTGACCTTAATACGAATAAATAATGTCATATATTCATCATATTTGTCTAAATTGTTTTTAAGACTCGTAATTTCTTGTAGGTGTTGACAAAAATCAACTTTATAATTAAAATAAACGCTATAACAGCATATAATATTATTAATTCCATTTTTGTGTTGTTTTTCTGTATTTTAGTTTAATTTTGGTTTCAGTTAAGGCAAAGTGCGCTGAAGAAAGAGGACGCAGACCTGCAGCTGGAAATGGAAAAGCTGGAAAGGGAGCGAAATCTGCACATTAGGGAACTGAAACGTATCCATAACGAAGATCAGTCCCGTTTTAACAACCATCCCGTACTGAACGATAGGTACCTTTTGCTCATGTTGCTTGGTAAAGGCGGCTTCAGTGAGGTGCACAAAGCGTTCGATTTGAAGGAGCAAAGGTACGTCGCATGTAAGGTACACCAACTCAACAAGGACTGGAAGGAAGATAAGAAAGCCAACTATATAAAGTAAGTTTATTTTTTTTATAATTCATATTCATATCATTCATCGTTTGATGGATTAAAGAAAATATTATTTTAATGATGATAATTTTACACCTTTAGAATGATCTTCGTGATTATTTTTAACATGCACTACCAACTGACTCAACTCTTCATCATATTTATACGTACATTTGCTGTAAATTGTCAACATTTTCAAATACTATTTTTCCTGTTTCAGACATGCACTAAGGGAATACAACATCCACAAAGCGTTAGATCATCCTAGGGTTGTGAAGCTCTACGACGTTTTCGAGATTGATGCCAATTCCTTTTGTACAGTTTTGGAATATTGTGATGGACATGATCTTGACTTTTATCTCAAGCAGGTAATAATTAATAATTACATTATAAACTAACTTAATAGTTTTTCCTTTAATAATCAAAATGATGATACAAACCTGTTCCCAGATGAGATAATGATGGCGAACGAAATTGTTTCAAGACGGGACTGAATCTTTCTAATTTTAATTTTTCTGTTATTTTATTGCGTCTAAGCGAATATTAATTATGTAAAAATTTTGTATTTTTAGCATAAAACGATTCCGGAGAGGGAAGCGCGATCGATAGTGATGCAAGTGGTGTCAGCGCTTAAGTACCTGAACGAAATAAAACCCCCCGTGATCCATTACGACCTGAAACCAGGGAATATCCTTCTGACAGAAGGAAACGTATGCGGAGAAATTAAAATAACAGATTTCGGACTGAGCAAAGTCATGGACGAGGAGAATTACAATCCCGACCATGGAATGGACCTCACGTCGCAAGGGGCTGGCACCTACTGGTAACTTTACCTGTTTTATTTGTTTACAAAAAGAATACTGATCCCATGTGTCCGACAGTCTGCTATAAAAACGTGAAATTAAATCCAAATACAGGGAAATGTCCAAATAGACACTTTTAAAACAATTTTCTTTGAATTTGAGTTATTTGACTTTTTAAATACTGAAAATGGATGAATTCATCTAGTTTTCTTCTTCTGTTTTTGTATTATTTTCGACCCTACTTTCACATCACTTGCATACCAATATTATTGTTTAATTTTTATTTTGACAATTATTTTTTACTTTTGATAAAATTAATGACTGTGAAAGGGCATAAATTTCATTTTAAATTTTATTTACATTAAAATATCAAATAGCTGCTTTTTGCTTGTAAGTAACTTTTAAAGAAACCACGTTTTTTATTTAAACTGACGGTTTTGTTAAATTGCTAGGTATCTTCCACCTGAATGTTTTGTTGTGGGCAAAAATCCGCCAAAGATATCGTCGAAAGTGGACGTGTGGAGCGTGGGCGTAATCTTCTACCAATGTTTGTACGGTAAGAAACCTTTCGGACACAACCAGTCTCAAGCCACGATCCTGGAAGAGAATACAATTTTAAAAGCCACGGAAGTTCAGTTTGCCAACAAACCTGCCGTCACCAACGAGGCAAAAGTAAGCAACTGATTATTAGGTCTTTGGAAAATTTAGTAATTTTAATTTTTGCTTAACTTTCAGAGTTTTATCCGGGCTTGTCTAGCGTACAGGAAAGAAGATAGGATCGACGTGTTGTCGTTGGCTAGGCACGAGTATCTCCAGCCACCGATGCCTAAGCATTCGCGGTTAACTTCGAACCAGCAGCAGGCGCAACAGCAGCAGCAACAACAGCAACAGCAGCAGGTGGCCGCGGGTTCTTTCTCAACCGGGATCTTCGGCGGCGCGATGAATGCCTCCTCCTCGTCTTAGTTCTCGTTCGTTATCATCATCATCTACTTCAGTGCTGTGTTTTCTAAGTTATTAATTTAAAATAATAATTAAAATAAAATGGAGATTAAGAGAGAAAGATGGATAGAACGAAGGAAAAAAAAGTAATTATGTAAGTTAGTTACGGTATCCTTCGTCGTCGTCGTCGTGTTTGTGAACCGACTTGCAAGTGAACTCGTATGCGCGAGAGTGCGAACGGTGACTGTCACCCCCACACCCCTAATTATAGAGGAGAGACGTTATGAACGGACCCGTCTCCTCATCATCAGCATCCCTCTGTGTATAATAAATAAAAGTAAATTAATAAGACGCTCTGTAATTATTACTATTATAATAATTATTAGTAATGTATCGTGCCGTTATCGGATGGTCGGAGGTGACGAAACATATGGACGAGCAACAGCAAACAAACAAACGGACGGACTCGTTGTAATTTTTTCGTTTTGTTTATCGTTTTTTTTTTCGGTTTTCGAACAACAACGGACTTCGTGTAAAATTTAATTGTTCGTATGACAGTTATTACATTAATTACACTAGTCGGTCTGAAAAAATTAGTCCATGGCAATCTGGCCAACTTGATTACATACACTTTATTGTATTATGTATTTTATTAAACGACCACCGTACTTTAGTTTTAATACAAAGTCGGATGTATGTATGTACAGTCAATATGAATTTATTGTAAACTTTACGTATCGAGACGTACCTCTCTGTACTGACAATGAGTAGTAGGTACTAGTCAAAATGATGTTGGTGTTTGAAAGAAACGAAAATGTTTAGTTTTTAGTCCTAATGTGTTTTTATTTGTATTGTTTCAGATGTCTGCCGGATCCCAAATACAAATGGCACCGCAGACTACCATCAATACAGTTCAGCCCGTTCATAGCCAAGACTCCAATATGAGTACAGGTAGGCAGTCAAATTATTTAATTAGATTTTTAAAAAATTTACAGTTGTCTTACAAGCTACCTCCTATTGACAAAAGTCAATAATATATTGATTTATCTTTTTACGTAACAAAAGAGTTGCGGACACTCGTTTCGGACATTATGTCCATTATCAACGCGCAAGTAGTGCCCCTAATCATTAGCTTTTCCTAGATTTTTCGTCACCTAATTTCGCGTAATCTTCACGGGATTTAGAATCATCAATCAGAATGTTGCTCTTAACTGTCTAGCTTAAAAGAAATTTAAAAATTTACGTACAACTATTGATTCTTATTATTGGAAATATAATTTAAT